CTCAAAATGATTTCGATGTTGAAAAAGTTCAACTCAATACATTTCGGGAAGCTAAAATATGTTAAAACCAAGGTCTTCAGTCACTTCTCGGAATTCCTCCGGTTTATTTGACATTCGTGAAGAAATCAGGAAGGGTTGCAATATCTTCCCCACAGCCTTCCTATCAACGGGAGTCTGCTCAGTAACGATTGTAACTGAACAATCGTTACAATTCGGAGAGTTTCTTTTTTGAATTCTCATAATTCTAGCTTCCTTATGTTTTCTCTGTCTCTGCCGTCCAATTTCTACCAGCATTAATTGTCTATCTGATTTTCGCGGTTTTTAAATTTCGCAAAATTGCAGGATATTTTCTTTCAAACGCAATTTTCTTTTATCAAATAAGACCGTTAATCGTCAAAATTAGCATATCGTACAATCAAACTTCTTGAAATAAAATTCGTTTGCATTGCACTAATTGCATTTCGTCATTCTGTTTGAATAGCACTTTTATTGCAGCCTCTCTAATGAAGGCCGGCATGATGTAGACTTCCTTACTTCTCCTTAAGTTTTTCTCTTTTTGCAATGTTAATTCTAGCCTCATAATCGTTTGCTACTGTATCAATCAATGTTCTTGGTTTTTCTCGATCGGTTCTAAACTTTTCAAGTCACTGAATTTCGGTTACATGAGTGTTAGCTCCAGTCGAATCAAGTATTTTGTTCACTTCATTGTTCATTGGGACAAAGTTTTCGCCTTTTGATTTGTTTGTATCCTATATGATCCCGTTTATTCTGAAACTTTTTTTGCAAAAGTGTATTTTCGAGATATACACTTTTTTACACCATTTGATTTATCTGTGGAATTTTCTACAGCACGAACAGCAACGCACAACTTCTCTACTTTTTAATGTTGTTTTCATAGCTTTTTCAACCTTTTCATCTGCTAACTGAGTCAACCTTTTTCATGTTATTTAGTTTTTCACCAACATCAGTTTTTCAATCTCTTCGACAAAATTGCCATAGTTCGACAGCGGATGAAGTTATTCCTATCTACTGTTCCATGTATTTTTTGCACAGGAGCATCGCTTTCATTCCAAGTTCTTTGATGCCCGTGAATGCAGCAGGTGAGAATGGTGTTCATTCGAGTGTCAATTGCATGTTACAATTGCATGCAACGCAGGTATAAGCTTTATCTTCGCATTACTGGGCTTTTTACAGGCTTTGAATTATTCAGTGATGATGAGACTGTGAGAGTTTGATCTGGACCAAGGAACTTAGTCACTAGAAACTTCACAAAACTTTACAAAACTCACCTTAAATTGAAGCTGGCTGGTTTCTATCGGGATCCGCAAACTTTTCTCGTTGCTTTTTAGGACTACTGGAAAAATAAGACTTGTTTGCATTTTAATCCGGAAAAGGAAATTGTTTTCTAGGAATTTCATGATGATTTACAAACATCAGTTTAACAGCTAGCTGTTTGTTTTTGGATTCGCGGTTCTTCGTTCACTGCTTTTGGAGTTTGCAATTCTTTTTCTTAATATTCTTTTGCAAATTGTTACTATTTTCTTGACGATTGTTTTAATGTCTCGAAAAGTTTTAATCTCTTAAAAAGTGCCAAGTTCAATTCTGCAATGTTTCATCACAAGGTCTTTGTCCTTCTGCTTTCGGTTAGAAAAAAAAAGAATTTTAACAAATTGTAGCACTGCGGTTTCAGTTTCTTTCCATTTCTTATCTGGTGCCTAACGTCTGGTGCTCCATCTGTGACACAATAAACAATCCCGAGAACTCGCTTTTTTATATTGATTTCAGTTGCCAATTTGTCCCCGTTCCAAGGTTTACTGCGATCACTTTCGGATTTTTAAGGGAGTTTTTTTATTATATTGTGCCACAAAATAATCTTCTCTGAGCTATCAAAATGACGAACTTGATTTTGAACAGTTTTTAACTAACCTTCTGCAGATGAGTGAACATTGTATCCAGGTTTCGTGATCCTTCTGTTTGATAACTGGAATTGTTTTCAGATGTTAGACCACTTTTCCAGAAAAAGAATTGGGGAAGACATTTTTAATTTGTTCAGTGTGTTTTTGACTGTAGTGAGAATGCCACAATTCAAATTTTAGCCTCAATTGATGTCTGTCACTCTTGTAGATGTCGTAGTCATTTAAAAGAAGTTCAGATGAAATGATATTTTTATTTAGCCAGGTTTCTCAACAACAAACGATGTTGCAATCAGAGCTATAAGAGCATTTGCAAATTTTAATCTTCGTTCAATGTTTATTAGACTTCTTGTATTGAGTAGTCACTTGTTAAAAAAACCTAGCCAGTTTGATTTAGAGTTTTCTGAGTTTAGATTCAATTTGACTCCATCAGTGTATAATTACAAATTTCGATGTTTCCGTTTGTCTTCTGTGACTCTTCCATCGTTTTTTCAGTATTTGGTTCGCCTTTTGTAACATTTGCCCGGAAGTACATACTGACGGAAAAAGGGCTAGATCCTGAAACGACTGGCTAGCGTCCAAATAGAGCCTTACGTGCTTTTTCAACCGTCTCTGCCATAGCCCGTTTAATGTTGTTCTTGTAACATTGTTTCGTCAAAATTGTTACTACCTGAAGGTTATCGGCCCAACCCTGCAAACTAACTTAATTACATGCAAAATAGGCATCTCATAGCTGGTTCTCAGTATCAGGCAGCAAAACAGGGCTGGTAATCGATAACTAATAAGTTGCTATATAACTGTTGTTTTTGTTCAGTAGAGAAGTTCGACCTGCCCATCGGAGATGGATCGAACCTTTCCCTTAACTCGTAGCGTCTTATTATCTGAAAATGATTTCGATGTTGAAAAATTCAACTCAAATCTGGACATTTTCTGGGTTCAGAGACATACAAGCACTAAATTTTGCGCATCTACAGTGCAGAGTATGGCCTCGTAATTTGAAGAAAAAACTAGTTTTAAGAAAAAAGCTTGGAAATTTTTGGTTTGATGAAAAAGCTTGATGAAAAATGCAGCAGCGGGGTAGCCTGAAAACTTTAATAACTGTTCCAACAAAATCTAATAACACCAAATTAAATGAACAGCATCTCATTTTTGGTCCAGTCAAGTGGAATTTTTTGGAGGAAGTCACGAAAATTTTATGTTTAGTGTGGTAAACTTTCGATCTTACTTCTCGACATGATCATTTGTTAACAGAGGTTTGTATCAAAACGTTTCTTTCCTGTTTTTATCTGTAACAAGACTGCTCGTATCAGGGCAAAGATCTGATAGTTCCGACTGCCTTTTAAGGTTTATGAATCTGTAATAACATGAAAAAATTGAATGTAATAAAAACGAAATGAAAATTTGAGTTTTTTTTATGAAAATCATCCCCCCACACGCCATATAGAGAAAAAAAGATTAGATTTCGCTGCTATTAACAATCGATTATGACAAATAAACTTATTTCAACCAATTTGGAACGATTTCTAGAACGGATTAAATTTCCGCTTATGCGTTAAAAGTTCGAAATATATCGCGCGTTAATTGTCCCAAATTGGCCAAAATGCCAAGCTTTAAATCCCCATAAATTTACGAAAAATGATCATAAGTAAAATATCTTTTCCCATTTAAGCTCAGGACAATAATACCGAACGATTTTTATAGAGTTAAAAAGTCGAAATTTGTCTGAAGAAGAAAAAAACCCACCCCGAGCACAAATATTCCGTTTTTTTTTCGTATCGAAAGTCGGAACAATAACACAAGTCCATTTAAAACGAAATTTCAACCTAAGTCTTGGGCGGTTTTCACATTAGTCTAATTGTTCTATTGTTTCATTCATTTAATTCTATTGCTCTTTACTGGAAAAAGGTCAAATCTTTGTTTTCTAAAATTCCCGTCAACCATTTTCTCCCAATTTTTTCTTTAAGCTTCCAGTTATATTTTTTAGTAGAAACTCCAGTGAAACTAGAAAAGCCGCTTGCTCTGCAAGTTGCAGAGCAACCGGTTGTTCTAGTTTCACATGGCGTTATTGCCTTGCACAGAGGAGTCAACAAAAACTCAAACAGGATATGGATTACAGGCAGTCGTACTATTCTAGGTTGGGTTGTTTTACATTAGATAATTTCTATCACATTAAATTTCTGTTTTTTTGCGTTTTTTTTTACAGTTTTCGAAAAAATGCCTGGAAGATATTAATTATCCTACATTCTAAGAAAAGATAAAAAACGAAGTTATACCTGCAAAACGAAAATTGAAAAAAATTTTCTTTCTTGATCAGCTTTTTTTGCGACTAAGTTCTTTTCATTTCGTGAGATTTTTTTTGTGTATTGCACGTAAATTGAATCTGTAAGTGCATACTAAAAATAGCCGATTTTAATCAAAATTCAAAAAAAATTGTTCCTTCTCCTCTTTTATTGCAAATACTGACCATAAAATAGAATTAAAAACATCCGGTTGGAACTTCTTGGTCTATCAAAAGCCAATTTGGTTTACATGCAAGTCTTAACAATTGAATTAGAGCAAGATTAATTATAGCTTGGTGGAAGGTCTAACTTGGACTATTGCGCCCCTGTCCGCCCTGTCGGCTATGCTTGCTGTTTTTTGTTAACGCCTAGCATTTGCGGCAAATTAGACCATTCCAAGTTGAATTTAGGCAAATTAAAGCATCCACACAACTTGTTACTAGATGCGAAATATATCGCGTTGTACTTCAAATTCTGCTTGTGAAAGAGGGCGGGTGATTTTCAAAAAAAAAGACTTTCTTTTTTTTTGAAATATTTTTCAAAAATGATTTCATGCATAATCAAGTGCAGTCGAAAAAAAAATTAAAAAGGAGCAGTCCTGTTTTAGTTCACATAACTTTCAGAGGACTTTTATCTTCAATATTCTTTGATTTATTTCAGACTTTTTCAATTAACACAATTTCCTACTCTGTCTGGAAAAGGTGAACATAAGTAGAAAAACAAGTCCAAATAATCAGACATGACTTTTTAGTTCTGGTTCTGGCCCCACATGATTCATTTCTCGGGACCAAGACTATCAAAATCAAACTGATTTTGAAAAATTTTATTTTGTAATATAGAAACTGAGGTCATTTCAAATCAATTATAATAGTGTATAATAACATTTGATTGTAATAATAATGAGTTTACAACATGAAGGGAAGATCTTGGTTCTTCTCACCTAGCCCCACATAGACGTATCCAAACTTGGGCTGGTTAATGACATTGAATGCAACCAGGCCAGGCCACCAAAGGGACCTAAGGGTCACGAGGTTGTTGGCGTGTTCTGATTGGATACTCCAGCAGCCTGTAAACAGAAACCAAAAGTTTGCTGTTTATGCTAATATTAAGTGGCTCAGAGTCATCTTCAAAAAATCAAGAAGGTTATCAGCATGACATTAGAAGAAATCGATATCTTTTTCACAGGTTTTTTTTCTTCAAAATTTAAAAAATCTGTATACTACACATGTAATGTATCGTCAGACAAAAAGGCAAAAAAAATAATCAAGATTGTTAAATATTTTTTAAATTTGATATCGTTCAAGTAGCTGCTTATTAAAATTAACTATCAGCTAGTTATCCGAGATCAATTTTTTGAAACATTTGACAATCTAGAATAGTTTCTGCCGTTTTGAATTCTGTTTTCGATTAAAATTGTTCTGTTAAAACCTTAACTACAGTGCTGATTTAAATTAACCGGACAAAACGCGTTAAACTTGAAATTCAAAACCCGTTTTTCTCAAAATGGGTTGGGTTTACGTGAAAACTTATGAGGGCAAAATCTGCTTAAAATTTTAGCAAAATCAATATGGTGCAACTTGTTTTGCGAAATTCGGACCCAAAATTTTGAGAAACCGTAGCGATTGAAAGTGCAAAACAGTCTATACACCGTCACTGAAACGTTTATTGAAAACTAAAGGCAAGACAAAAAATTTTTCGGCAAAAAATTGACAACCTTAATCTGTTTTGAATCGGTCCGACAAATTGAATAAGCCTCAGATGTGAAACACTTTTCTGTTTTTATTTTTCTGTTTTTTTACGATAATTGAAAATGGGAGGAAAATTGAATTCAGTTGTGTTTTAGTTTTTTCTTTTTTTCTTTTTCCACGCAAAATCTGGACCCACAAACAATCATTGGAGTGAGTCCAGTTATATACCATTTTGAAATCTTTTCAGCTGTGATTGAAACGACTTGAAATTTTTGGTTGAAATTTTTGAGTTCAGTTTAGTTTTGAGCAAATAGAGCAACCGAGTAGGTTTATTATAGAAGAATAGTCCACGAACCTTTTATTCAAGACATCAAATTTTAGATCAATTCCAATAAAATTAGTTTACATCATGGAGATATCTAACTTCAGGTGCTTTTTTTAGTCAATTTTTTCAAAAAAAAACTCGTCGTCCGTTATTCCCGTTTCAGAACTAGTTTCAAATCTGCTTTAATTTTGGGTTTTTTTTTCAGATCTTTACATCAGACCACACGCAAAAAAAAAATAATTTACTTTGAAATATAAAATTGTTTTGAAAAGTTTTATAAGAATATGATCCGAACATTTTGGGCTACTTGAAAAAAAAACTGTTTATCTTTAGGGAAATTTGATTCCAAATTACAGATAAAAAGACGAAAAGTTTGCGGTTGGTATTTTTTTTTCATCAGAAAAATTTTGGCTTTTTACACTGCCATTTGACCGAATTTTTTGTATTTTACCCGAAAACTAGTCATGACCTGTGCTCGAAACTCAAAAAACACACCTCAAAAATCATGAGGCTTTAGTAGTTGCCAGAAAAATGACTAGTCTGGAAGGATTAATGCGCTACATAGCTTATAAACTATAATCGGCAAATAAACCCAGATGAGAGCTTACTGCCAAGTTTATTGAGGGAAGTTATCTTTTTTACTCTCTTGGTAATCGTCATGCAGTTCTCTTTCAATTTCCCAATAAGGAGGAAAAGCTAATGGCCATGGAGAATTCGGTTATGGTGATGCCGACATATAAGAAACCAGGTAGCTTGGACTTTAGTAATACTGAGATGAGCACCGCATGTGTACTAACGAAGGGCCTGAATGGACATGAAGCATTTTGCTGTTTATTTGGCTGTTCATAAGCCGTGTGGAGTTTATAGACCAGTAGACAATAAAGGGTAGTCGGGTCAACCAACGCTTCGCTCTGATGTAAGCAACCTTGGTGTTCCGTCTCACGGAGAAAGTAACGTATTGTATAAGTTTGGAAAAAGGTTTTTATTCAGACCACTTTTTTGAGCAAGCTGGAGATTCTCAACAAGTATATTTCAAAAACCATTGAATATTTATTTATTTTTTTGGCTTCAAGGCTGATACGATAATTTACTTGAAATTTTTTTGAAAGTTATATGGCTTGGAATACAGCCAGTTTGCTTAAGTTTTAGACCAATTTATCCATTTTTGTCAGTGATGGTGAACGCGTAAACAAAAACAATTTCTCATTCTTTCTCTTATGATTTGATATTAGTTCGAGGCAAGCTAATTGGTCATGATAATTAATTCCCCAGATGACTCAAAGTGATATAGCTCTTACTATAATATTATTGCTGCTGGGAAGGAAAACAAACAAAGCTGATAATTCATCCTTTATCAAAACTTTCTATAAGAAAAAGTATTGAGACAACCTAAAGTAATCGGAACGTTCAGGGTTTTCTCGAGTTAAGGTCATTCGTGATGTTCTGATTTTCGGGAAAAAAAGTTGAAGAAATGTTTTCGGCAAAATTTGACTCTTAACTAGGTATTTGTGGTGGATTTTTTCTAAACATTTAGAAAAATTTTAGTCGTAGGTTCAAAAGTAAGAAGAATTGTTTAATTATGGTGATCTGAATGATAGGAGTGAGTCAATTTTTTGTGAGTTATGGGAATTTGAAGTTAAGACTACTTTAACCAGTTTGAGATAATTAAAGCGCTAAACTTTCAAGTTTGTGCGTTTCATTGGGTATGGGGTAAGAATTTAAAAAAAATTCATTGTTTTGTCAGTTTTGTTTCAAATTTTGTCGAAAGTTTTAATCGGATTTTACTGCAAACACACTGAAAGGCAGTCGGAACATACAACGCTATGCCTTGATTACGAGGAGCCTTCTTTCACTTTGCTTCTTCTTTCAAAGAAGTAATTGACGTGGACATGAATGGAAAGAGATCGTGCTTGAACTGAATTCTGCTCGCAAAATATCAATTAGGAAGGAGCGTGTATACGTTGACCTCCTAATGTAATTCCACTTAACCACTCAAAAGAGAAAATGATATCTTAATCAGTTCACAATTCATCTTAGCGGCACTTATGAGAGTATTTCGAATTAGAACATTTTTCGACTTCAAATATAAGGTTGCACTCAACCACTTTGTAAAACATGCTTGAATGCGGCTGAAAAGGGTTTGAATCAGTAGTTTGGGCTCTTTTTCCTAATCCTCTTCCCCACACAAAAGCATCAGTATTATGGTGTAGCGAGGAGTTTTACCATGTTAAGTATGGAGACTAATTGTCATGCCAATTTTCGTAACAATCAAACAAAGTGATAAATAGCAAGTGGGGGAGGAAGAGAGAAAAAAACCCGCACCGATGGATAATAATCGATTAAAATGGAAAATTGTTGTCTAAAATGTTGCCAGTATAATCCATTATTGCTGCAATTTTATACCACGAAATCGATTATATTGTCATTATAATCTATTATTTTCGTAAAAACACAGTCCATTAAAATCCATTATAATGGATTATAATCCATTTAAAATCCATTATAATTGATTATAACGGATCATAATCGTTACATTTTTTGCTAAATCATTTGCAAAACTTGTAAAATTTCTGCGTTATTCCCGGCCTACTCGCAATCGAAACCTTCTCAAATTCACCCCCCCCCCCCCCCCTCCTCCTCACTTTGCCCCCTATCCCCAACCCCCAACACCCCCCCCCCCCAAGCTACTTTGCCCAATACCCCCTCCTCCCGCCATTTTTTTTAACCCCGCCCACGTTCAGTAAACGGATAGGGGTTAAACTAATAAAATGAGTGGGGGGTGAACTGAGGAGGGGTAATCTGGGTGTGGGGAGGGGGTGTTAAACTGGGGAAAGGGGTTGTTAAAAGAGGTAATCGAGTGTACGTAGTATAGAAAAAGTAGAGAAAACTTAACTAAATAAAAACTTGTGAAAAGTAAAAATTTATGATATGTAATATGTAGCAACTGAACAAAATAAGAAATGAGATAGCTCTGAAAAAAATTGCAAAATTCATAACTTCTTCTCAAAAAGTACATATAATTTGATGGATTACAATCGAATATTTTTGTATTTTTCTTAGATACTGACTATAAAATGACAATCTAATCAATTATTATCCATGGAACTCCAGTGCGGGAAGTCGTAGCTTGCTCTCTCCTATACCTCCCTTATTTCTGGAATTGCTAATTTTTGCCATCCCCGATAGTGTTCGTACCAGTCAAAAAACGCCTTTGGTTTCAAAATTTATGGGTTATTATCAATCAAGTCAGTTGTTGCTCCGACCATTGAAAATGGGGAGGAACTTCGTGTTTTAGTTTTTTTTATTTTTTCACGCAAAATCCAGTACCACAAATAATGATCATACTGAGTTGAATGATACATCATATTAAAGCTCTTTCAATCGTGATTCGAAACAAATTTGAAAATTTCCAAAAAAATTTCCCAGTGTTGAGAAAAACTGGTTTGAAATTTTTTTGTGAGTGTTAATTGCAGCAATTAAAGCAGGCGAGCAGGCTTACAAGCTGAATTCTGCCTAAGTTAGGACCTTAAAATTTAATTTTAAGCAAGTAAAACTGGTTATTGAAATTTTTTAGCTCCAATTTAAGAACCAAAAACTTCAATTTTAAAAATATTTTAGTTTTTCTAGTCATTTTTCAACAAAAATTTTTGTCCAGTTTGCCTATATTAGTACGACTGTCTAATATGGCTAAATTATATTTTACTTCAGATCCTTTTATCACACCAAGTAGTAAAAAAACTACACATATTTGGACAAAATGATTTTCTAAACCAAAGTTTTCTAAAGACTATGGTCTCAACATTCGGTGCTACTTGCACAGTAAGCGGCTATCCTTGTTCAGATGAGGCAATCGATGAGGGGGAGGGGTTAAATTTTCATTTTAAAAATTAAAAATTGTTGTCAACTTTTTTAGGTCGACTCAGAGTTACTCGGAACAGGCTAAAAAAGAGAATTTTTCTTTTTGAGAATTTTTTGGAAGAGCTGGACCAAAAAAGTTGCGTTTTGTTGGCGCGTGCATCTTCCTCAAATTTAGTATATATTGGCTTCAAAGACATCTTTAGAAATATTGATATATCTAAAAAGTAATTCAATGCGATTATAGCTAACTGTAGGATCAGATATCATTACGTCAAGCCAATGAACTGAAACAGATTATCAAAATCCGATTTGTTATCAGAGGTTGAAAAAATTGAGATGCAAGTTCAGCAAAAGCAGTTTCTCAAAGGACGCATATAAACATGCGATCACCATGCTCTAGTATTTCAACAAAAAATGCTATGTATCTAAAATTAAGATGATTTGTATTTTCAACCGGGCGGACAGTTATTGAATTTACTCAATAGCCAGCTACCCCATTTTAAATTCTCATATCGACCACTTGCCTTAATTTTTCCATATTCGTAAACAACTCAAATTGAGGTCTGTGAAAACGCAAAAATCCCAAGTAAAGAATAAGAGAGGAAGGGAGGGGGGGGGCTTAGGTTGTTTGTGCTGTACCTCTGGGTATGTCCTCCTCGATGGGGGGCAGGAAGTCGATGGCCTTGTCGTGGCTGGCCTTGGCCAGTAGGGTCTTCTCGTGCATGTTCTCAGGGGGGAAAAAGTGGAAGTAGGAGCTCAGTTTGGAGGCATCCGTCTGGTCCTGGCCTACAACCACAACGGAACAGAAAAATTAAATTGACAATTTTAACACTATTTCAAAACCGAAATTTTTGGGCAAGACTATTTAATTAGATTTTAGAGATAAGCAGTTCAGTGCAACATTTAATAGCGAATCCCGCACCCGCTCTAAGGCATGGCTTTTTGATTGCTGTGCATTTCTTTTGAGTTCGTTTTAAAGTTAATACGGCAAAATTATCTGCAAAGAATTCTCGTTTCTTCAAAAGTGACCAAATGTTGGCTGCGACCAACTGCCCAAAGCGACATTTCGTTGCTTCACGAATTTTTATCAAGAGTTTTGATCAAATCTGAAATAGATCATAGATCGAATTATCAATGATACGTATAGCTGTGCTGATAAACCTGTCTAATATATCAAAGCGTTAAGTTAAGGGGCATGGGAATCATGCATTTTTGGATGTCTTTGGATGTGGTTTGGGTTACATTAGTGACTAATCCATCTGAAGAAAGGGGGAAGAATTAGTACCTTTGTAGTTGTTGTTGGCAAGCACATTTCCTTCGGGAGTGAGTTTGAATGCGCCTCTGGGCACCACCGCCGCCTCACAGTCTATCATCTGGATCACGCAAGCCAGTCGCTCCTCCTCCTTAATCTGGTGCTACACAATACAACAGCATTTCGAGCATTTCGTAAAATCAACCAGTATCGATCAATAACATCGTAAAATCTATAAATGTTGTAAATCTCTGATGTGTGTTATCATATCTGGCCTTTAAAATTATACCATTCAAAGTGCTTTGATCTCAAAGTTTGCATCAAAGCACTCGATTGCTGCCAGAACGCGAGTAATCTTCTACAGTTTGCTCATTTTGTTTCCTAATTTTTGCAGAAAAAGTTTTAATAACCAGGAACTAAACAACTTCACCATCAATTTTTAGATACCTATATTCAAGCTAATAGTGATCTGATAAATAAGCTGTTTTGTAGTTAAACTATAATAAAATCTGTATTTGCCTCCTTCACTCTTTTTTGGCTACATTTTTTCTTTATTATGATTGATATTATTAGGATTATTCTGTTAAGCCCGCAATTTCTATCAAACGGTAAAACTTTTACTCGTTTGTTCTTTTATATTTAAGTTAGGCTCTCATCCCAATGTTTCATTTCCCCCAAAGTTCAAGGTTACCAAAAAAAATTTGATTCTCGCTCAAATTAGTCTTACGGCGCGCTCTCAAGTGATGCTTTTGTAAAAAGAATTCTTCATTTGTAATTCTGTACGTGTGATAACTTCACTTGGAAACAGTTGTATATGATTATTATACCCCCGCCAGCCTAGCAGGTTTCAAAAAAAGTTTTTGTCAAACATTTTTTTAGTTCAACAAAACTGATTTTATGAGAAATTATTCTCTGCCGGCGGCAAAACTATGCAAAAAAACAATTGAGCATTTTTAGCAACGTTTACATCCCAACCCCTAAAAAGCAAAATGATGAGTTTTTGGTGAAGTAATTATGATCTATGATTTTCTGGCTGCTGTCAACGAAATTCTTAACATGACCTATTGCATATGTAGAAAAGGGGCAAAAAGACAAAAATAATGGGAGCATGCGACTTACTTCTACAATTACTTTGCTTAGAATCAAGTGAACATTCCCCCCTTAAATCAATTTAAAAGGGTGATTGTTAATTTCATTGCATTGATACTTTGTAATGCTTACTTTATAGACACCTTTTTTCCTTGACAAAAAAAACAAAAAATATTTGTTCAAATCAGCTTTTAAAAATTAAGAAAAAATGAGAAAGCTGTCTCTTTTCCAGTTTCCGAAGCCCTAGATAAATTATGGGCCAATGCTTATTTTTTAGACGCGCTTTTTTATTGAGAGCAAAATATATTTTTTTGTTCAATTTAGGCTTGGAAAGTTTTAAAAAAAGGTCTCTTTTCCAGTTTCCCGTCCCCTAGTTGGATTACAATACAATGCAAAAATGTAACAAACGGCTTGTTCAGCAGTTTGCATAAAACATGGGTTGTAAAGAGGTATTCAGAAATTCACGCCAACATGTTTTTTTTGTTATGACTTTCGATGAAAGTAAAGAATATATAAGCTCGGTGCCATTTTTTTGTTGAGAAAAAATTAAATCAGATGAATTGCTGACTCGGAGGATCGCTCCTTGGATATACATGTCCCCACCGGTTGCACACAACTTCTGATTTAATTTAACTCACATTTCCAAATTGCTCGTTTCTTACTTTGACAAAGAAAGTGTAACGCAAATTTATTAAGCGTAACGCTCCCACTCTGATAGTGAAAGTGTAAGCGAAAGTGTTACTTTGATAGTGAAAGTATTACTTTGATAATGAAAGTATAACGCTCCCACTCTGGTAGTGAAAGTGTTCCTTTGATAGTGAAAGTGTAATGCTTCCACTCAAAAAATTGTTCGAAAATGAACTGAGGCAAGCTATTTGATCTTATTATTTCTAGATACGACTCAAACATTAACACTCGAAGTTCGACATTATCAGCTTAAAATTAATTGTTTGTCAAAAAAATCGTTTACCAAAATTTATTCCAAGCCATATAAAGAGGTGACAAATTGTTCAGGGTTTTACCATGACACGAGCAGTCTTTTTACAGTTTGGAACACCAATAGTCAAAACTGGCTTTCAAAAATCAGTTTTAGAAAAAATGAAAGAAAGAGGGAAAATGGAAAAAAAAACCAACTATGGAAGGTTTCAAAAATTGAAAACTAACTAAAAATAATGCGGTTAAAATTATACTGAACCTGTCACAAGCACCAAAAAAAACTATAAGTGTTTCCAGTTTTTTTTTAAATTTCGCTTGCACATATCGATGCGAAATAGTGAAGGCAGTAGAGTGAGCATGGAACAAAGAAGATCTGAAAAAACGTGTATCTAATTATTACTTGATCCATTTTTTTTTCACCCATGCAATTATTGTTCCGACCTCCTAGAAAATGACGGAATATTTGTGCTCAGGGTGGTTTTTTTTCTCCAGGCAAATTTCAACAATTTAATTAGCCATTTTTGACGGACTTTTTATTATCATTTAAAAGTTATTGTTGTCTTGAGCTTAAGTTTGAAAAGATATTTTACCTGTGATCAATTATCATGGAACCATTACTCTAATTGAAGTACCTACCTATTTGTGAGGAGGCTGCAATTTTTATAGGGTCTACAAGAGTTTTTGTTTTGAGCTCAACATTAAAAAAATGTTCCAATTGTGATATTTTTTGCAAGGTCAAGCTGGTAAGATAATAGCCAGTTTGGCAAATTTGGGATAATAAACGCGCAATATAAGTTGTTCTATAAGTTGTGAGCGGCGAAAAAATCCGGGTTAGAAATTCTTCCAAATTAAATTGAGGCGGACTATTCAGTCTAAATGCTATTTTTTATGCAAAATGTCCTTTTGTAATTTATATAGCGTAAAGGGGATGCTTCAATTGAAATTTTTTGACAAAAAGTTTATACCACATGAGTTCTATCAATACCTCAAGCTAAAACCTTAAAGGACATTCAATTGTTTTTATTTTAATTTGGGAATGCTTTGTCAATTTTTAATACCTTCACTCTGGTGACCAAAAATTTAGCGCAAAGCCGATCGAGTCCATACAATTATTTCGCAATCATTATTATACATACACTACACTGTAAGGATTTTTAAAAATCAATCATTTGAATTTTTAGCAGCAAAAAAAATTGTCCTGAGCTGAAGCTCTATTTTTTAACACTATTTGAAATTTTGCTCAAATTTACTTATGCTTTTTATGTTACTACGGCAATTTAGTAGATTGTTTAGAAGCTCTCTATGATATGAGCCTAGTTTTTTTTAGAGTCTCATTTTTCGGTTTATCTTTAAAACCAAACCAAATGCAAGCTGAACTTATGACTTCCAGGCTGAAGACTTCTTCCCGGGTAATAACATTGAGCACTTTAAATAGTTCATTATTTGCTCTGACAACAACTCTTTTGTTTTTCACAGTGTGAAAAAAACTTTGTGTACCATTTTTGTAAATTGGTTTGATTGATAGTCTTTCAATCAAGAACAGACAACTTTTGTTTTAGTCTTTGTTTTCTGATAAATTGATGATTCCGACTGATTTAAGACGCTAAGTGAGGCCTGTAAGACCCGTGGGAAGTGAGGCTTAGCGGGACATGAAACTAGATTTGATGAAACCCTAATTTTACCCACTAAGTTGAACATCTGAAATAAACATCACAATTAGCAGACAAGGCTACTTTTGCTTAAACGTCCTTCAAAGGACAAGATTGAGAGGGGACTTTAATGTTTGCAACATTCAAATTAAATTCACCTAGGGGAAATTTAATCATCAGTTTACCATGACAAGGCATTCTGATCAGTCTGCTGTCTTAGTCAAAAGCGATAAGTGATTAAAAGATAGAATTTCTTGGAGCCATTTTTTGATGCTAGGATGTAATGCGATCCAATATTTGATGCAATTTTATATTAAACCGCGGTCTTCAGAAGTCGCAACTTTGTTGCAGCAAATGCAACTACTTATTGAAATTGGGTCGAGATTTTTATTTTTTCAACCGATGATAACCAATTTTCAATTTTTTTTGCTCCTGTCGAAAAATTAATTTATCGGTGAGATTTTTCATCTCATAAGAAGCAGAATTGAGCACTGAGCAAATTTTCGATTGGGCTTTTCATTGAGACTTTTGACATGACTGTATTAAGTCTAGACAGTAAGAAAGTTATCGGTCGAAACATTGAAGTTTTCAAATAAATCAGGCTGCTTAGATCTAATTGATCGCCCATAAGGTGGACAGGAAAAACTCGAGTGGCCTTTGCCTCCCAGTACCGACAAAAAACAATCGATGTCTTAATAACTCTAGAATTAATTTAAAAATTATTGAGGAGATTAATTTCCAAAATGAACTAAAAACGCGCACGCTACAAAACTATGTTTTTAGACACACGCTATCTGGCCAGGTTGTTTGAAAATTCAAATTTGATTGAAATTTTTTTTCTAAGTTGACAGATTGCTTCGCACATTATTTCTGGTGTTCTAATTTTGTGCTAATTATTGACAACAAGGTTGGATCTAAGATTTATGTCGAAATTAAATCGAGCTTTTTTAGATTGACCGAATCGATTCTGTGCTCTTCAAAAATACTATAAAGACACTGTTTTCAAAAATTTTCTGCGCTACAGGCAAATTTTCCACAAAAAAAACTGTTTTTGGGCACTTTTTGATCGGTTTTGATTTTAAAAAAAGGCATTTTTTGCGCACGCGCCTCCCTCAAAATTACTATATTTTGGCGCGAAAGGCACTTGTAGACCAATTTTAAGAGACGAGAGGGCGCGCTCCTTCCTAAGTCCGCCTCTGATTATAAATACTGTCGTATCATCGATTGGGCAAAAAGAGCGTGCTTACGGCGTCTTCGGTGGATTCGCCGTCCTTGGTGACAATCTCGACGATCTCATATTCGTGGGCGGGGTCCCCCCTGAATCTGCCCCTGACCTTGGAGGCAGTCTCCATCAACTTCTCAGTCACTTCTATCGTCAGATTGCTCCACTCCATACAGTTCAGACTATAAACACAAAACAACAAAATGACTCATAGTGATGCAAAAAAAGAGCAGGGATGAAGGCCTTTGGGGACTTGAGGCCAACCACGGTCCGTTTTCCTACTCAAAGAATCACTAAGGCTTGTACAAATGTCTTAAGCAGATTTTAGAACATAGCGCCTTCTTGCACCAGATTGAGCAGCTCGTTTGTCGTTGCTATATCTTATATAGGAAAACGAAAAAATATATAAATGTATAAGTTTATTCTTGAGTAGAACTGTAGTAGATCAAAAGAAAACTTCTAATTATCACTGGTTCATTGAAATTCATTCATATCATTGAAAAAAGGTTCTAACTACTTACATAAAAATTGGCATTTGAAGCAAAAAATTGGGGAATTAAAAACAAAGCAACTTATGCGTCCTTTTTGATCTCATTGACAAGCAGTTTTATGGCTGGACCAGCAAAAAAATTAAACCTGGAAAAAAATTCACTAGCCAAAATTCACGCTGACCAATTAATACAAGTGAAGCCTATGAAGTATCAATTAGCTAATGTGAAATTGTATCAATCATCTACGTTGAAAATAGTTATCAGCATCTGGACTCTCTTAGGGCCTAAGCAGAGATCGGTGAGATCGGTCATGTTTTTTGTACAGGTACAACCTTATAAAAAAACACACCAGAAGATTACCCTCTGAAAGAAATAAAGATCTCTAAAATTTCTCAAAAAGTTGGTTGATCAATTATTGACAAAAAAAGATCGAAACACAGTTTTAACTTCACACGCCAGAAAATTCAAACCAATGAAACCTAATGGTGGCTATATATTACTAAAGTCGCATTTAATAAGTCGATCAAACTACAACTTAAATAGTTTTTCATGATACTCCATTTGTGTGATCGCAACAAAAACTTATTTACAATATTTGTACTTGCGTGAATATATCAGTATTCAAAGATTACGCCCATTTTTACTTGTTCAGCGTTGCAAAAACAGGTTAAATTTACGATACTTAAGAGTTGAAATTTCATTTAACGAGCAATACTGTACTTCACCCGTTAAGTTGATCGCACACAGATTTTTTTTAAAAAAATTACATATTTTTAGAGTAAAAAACCACGTCTCAGAATTTGGATATGCAAAAAACTCGACATACCTTTAAAATATTAGTTTCTTGTTTAATCTAAACATTTTAGATTCGTATATGCAGAAAAAATTGACAATTGAATTTTCTGAGAACAATATTTAGTTTGGTTGATTATTTTACAAAAACGAGCAACAAATTGAAAAATAAGTGTGCGACTTTCATATGTTATTTGGGATATCCTTCAAGCCACAACTACCAAACTCCAGAAATGAATTTCATCCAATCACAACTCGGTATGCAAAACAAAACCAAAGAAAAAAATGGAAATTCAGGTAGTAGGTCAGTAATCCAAAAAACCGAAAATATTTCTTTTTCAATTGGCCAAATTTTCTCATCAGCTCAGAATGCGCGAAGTAAACAGTTTTTGGTCAGTTATACAACAATTGGATGCGTTTTCAGTCAATAAACCATTCTACTCAAATCAGTTACAAAATCACAACATTTCGAACTCTTAATTCTTAATAAATTTACTCGCTGAGCTTCTGCGTGTGATTTTTTTGAAAAATCAACCATTATCCTAAGCGTAGAAACTACATCATTATACTCAACGGGAACAAAAATATTGTTCCGACTTTAAAAAAAAGTGGGGAATATTTTTGCTTGGATTAGTTTTATTTTGTTCAGTCATTTTTTTACCTTTTTACTAAACTTTTTTGACAAAAATTTGTATACCATCTAACAGATATTCTAAGGATAAAATTGTCCCAAAGTGAAGAGAGGCAACTCTTTCGGTCCTATTGATAGACTAAGAATTTTGCTTTTAGGTTGTTTCATCTGATTTTAAACCAAACACATTTAAATTGGCCTTAATGTGCAGTGGTAAGGGTCAGGGCTTTTCACTGATGTACAAGCAGTCCCGTTCATTTCAGTGTTCGCATTATTCAACTTGCCGTTTGAAAATTTTTGGTTTGCATTCAAAAATGGCGTTTTACTTTTTGTTTTCGATTGAGCAAATTGCATGGCAGTGATAGTGTGTGAGGATGAGTTCTCATTTGACCTCTAGCTTCAGTTCTAGAACTTGACCGATTACGGAATAGTGGTACTACGTGAAAATTCTAGACGCCAAAAATGTTCTCGGATCTCAAAAAAAAGAGACTCGTTCAACAAAATAACTCAGTATTGATTGATTGATTGTGGGAAATAAAACGAAATGGACTATGCTTATACATGCCAGATAGCCGTCCATTGATCCTCTGCGAATCGCAGAAACCACAATTATCATTTTTTAGGCATTATTTAGGCGTGGTTTATAGTTTTTTGTGCATTAAGTCTTCCGTTTTTGAATTAGGCGAAAACAAATAAGTTCTAAAAATACATCAATGAACTTCTTTAACTTCTCACATATATTAATGATGTATGGTACGCTTCACGCTTGCATAAAAATTTTCTTTGTTAATTAATTGTCCATCAAAAATGTTTCTCGGATGTTTTTAGCTTTTTTGTTGAAATAATGGACTTTCTGTTGAAATAAAAAAGCAAGCATGGTTATTGTTGTAATGAAACAAGGCAGTCTAAAATTTTTGAGAACACGTACGCTTTCACACCCCGCCTGAAAATTATTGCATATTTTTCTTTATTAGGAATGATAAAATAAAACTGTAACACAAAAGCAAAAAAAGTAATTGTTCCCTGGTTTGACATTCATAGAACAAAAGAGAATTTCAAACAATGCTTCACTTAGATTTAACGTACAAAATTTTAGCTGAACATTTTTCATTCAAGTTCTAAAAAAAGCTTTAATTATTCCAAATCACATGTTTTACTTTTTGGACGACATTCAATGTTTCTGCGATGAAAAAAAAACAATTTGGTTTTGAACGTGCTTTTTATTCAAAGTTTTTGAATGAAAACTGTGTGATAAGCAATTTTTCCTTATAAGATTTTGTGGAAAACTTTTCAATTTGGTTGCCAGACATCCCTATTTTCTATGGAATTTCATGACAATTTTGTTTCCATATATGGAAAAACTTTGACTCGCAGTTTTTGTCAGCCCATGCTATTTTATTAGCTGAAGCCAATGAGTGATACTTTCGTTGTTCCATGTCTGAACGAGCGCTTAGTTCATTATACATTCGTGACCAGAAATGTTTCCGGTTAAAGCGATCAATTTTTTTAATATTATTACCCAGTGTTAAGACTATACCGTATCATGAAAGGAAGAAGTTGGGTTATCTTTATTAGTCAGGTAGATTTGAACTCACGAAAGGGGCAAACCGGAGATTTTTTCACGAACCTTTTTTGTCTGAGCCAACTTTTTTTCTACACAAAACGGACGGTTCGTTCATGCCTTCTGAGATTTGTTTGTTTGCTGGGAAATTTATGGTTCCACGGTTACTGAAGTTTATATCTGATCCTCAGAAAGGAATTTATTAGTGATGACGCAAGTGATCTTGGTACAAAAATACACATCGCGACCTTTATCATTTTGATGATGAGAAGGTCCAATTGAATTAATTGGGCGGGAACTTCATCTGGGTATAGAAATAGTTAGTTGGTTCGAACGATTCGATTATTTAATTGAACAAAAGGAATTTCAAACATGATGCTTCCTTATATTTTCACAATCTGAGAGCTATGTACTAGTACCCTCGCTATTATATTGCACTAGAAAACATGACATTCTATTAGCTAAACTGCTTAGATGTTTAACTACTTAGAGTGGGTTGGCCACATGCTAAGACCCTTTCAATAAGATTTTCAATTTATGGTTTGAATAACTTGTTTTATGTTAAATATCGGCTTTCCTCGTTTGGATCAACCGTACAGTATTCCCCCAATCAATTTAGGAGAGAAAATATGTATTTTTTTTTTCAGGAAGTATTTTTAACAATAGCCTAAATTTGTACTACATAAACAGTTTCAAGAGCGAAAATTGATCAAAAATGCATAAATAAAGTTAATTAACAGCATTGGAACCTGATCTAAACTACATTTTATTATTGGATAAATTAGATATTTTATCACTATAAAATATTTAATATTAACCAATCATATTCCATCTAACTAACAACCCACTTATTTGTAAGTGCTGAAATTACTTGTAATTTCAGCACCAGAGAGATTTGAATTCAACTTAGAAATTAGTTACCTCTCCAAGACAACTTCAAAAGTCGCAATAAGCCAGTATACTCTAGATCTATTGAGCCTAGCAGAGACTAGTTAAACACCCTGAGACTAGTAGATATAAGAGTAAGATTAGGATCAGTATTAGACTAAGAAGTTGCACGAATCTATCCGGCCGAAAATAAGATAGCGTGACGAGCAGACGGTGTACCCTATCCGAAATTACTCTATGAGTTAACCACAAGGACCTAACTCAGCATTCAAAAATAACCCTGCATAAAAATTAGAGAAGCCGATTCCGTTTGTGCGAGAGTTCGAAATGCAGACTTTACACAGAAATAATTTTCAAAACTAATGCGTGGCTTGGGGAGACATTCTTCGGTTGGTCACTTAGAGGGGTTGAAGATTGTACGTTTGATACCCTAATATAAGTATAGTTTGCTTTTTTGTTATTGCCTCTGAAACTGGCATGGTTGCAAACAACATTTATATTTCTCAATTGACACGTAACCCCGCACTGTAGTTCAATGGAAAAACAATCGAATCTTGTTGAATTTTATTGTCAGTGTCCTTGGAGGTGAAAAATAAATCTTGAACTTGAATTCATTTACCAGCTGCAGTCAAAAGTTATAATAAGAACTTAATAATTATCCTAATAATCAATTTAGAATGAGATGTGTTGTTGTTCCGACTTTCGATACAAAAGTAACGGAATATTTGTGCTCGAGGTGGGTTTTTTTTTCTTCAGACAAATTTCGACTTTTTAACTAGCCATTTTTGGCGGAATTTTTAAATATCATTCGGAAAGTGTTGTTGTCCTGAGCTCAAATTTGAAAAGATATTTCACCTTGTGATCATTTTTTGTAAAGTTACGGGGTTTAAAGATTACCATTTTGGCCAATTTGGGACAATTAACGCGCGATATATTTCGCGCTATTAACGCGTAAGCGGAGAGTTAATCCGTCTAAGAATTCGTTTCAAGTTGGTTAAAAGAAGCTTATATGCCATAATTGATTTGTTAAAAGGAGCAAAATCTATCACTTTGTACTTAATATGGCATGTGGGGTGATGTTTTTATAAAAAATCTCAAACTTTTTAGAAAAAAGTTTTAATTTTACTTTATTACATTTAAATTTTCCATTTTATTACTGTTCCATAGACCTTAAAAGGCAGACGGAACATTCAGAGCTTCGTCCTGATACGAGCAGTCTTGTTGTTCCGACTTTCGATACGGAAGTAACGGAATATTTGTGCTCGGGTGGGTTTTGTTTTCTTCAGACAAATTTCGACTTTTTAACTAGCCATTTTTTACGGAATTTTTTTATCATTCAAAAAGTATTGTTGTCCTGAGTTTAAATTTGAAAAGATATTTTACCTGTGATCATTTTTCGTTAAGTTATAAGGGTATAAAAAAGATTGACATTTTGGCCAGTTTGACCAATTTGGGACAATTAACGCGCGATATAATTCGATTTGGGACAATTAACGCGCGATATAATTCGCTTACGCGCAAGCGGAGATTTAATCCGTCTTATAAATCGTTCCAAATTGGTTGAACGAAGCTTACTTGCCATAATTGATTTGTTGCAAGGAACGAAATCTATCTTTTCGTACTTTATATGGCGTGTGGGGTATGAATTTCATAAAAAAGTTCAAATTTTAGAGAAAAAATTTCATTTTATTTTGTTTCATTTAAATTTTTTATGTTATTACTGCTGCTCCATAGACCTTAAAAGGCAGTCGGAACATTCAGGGCTTCGCCCTGATACGAGCAGTCTTGTTGCTATTTGTCTTCAATTTTTCTCCGCGTTACTTTGATTTCGTTTCATTTTATGTTACTATGTTATTCTGTTTTTGTTCCGACTTTCGATACGAAAGTAACGGAATATTTGTGCTCGGGTTGGGTTTTTTTTCTTCAGACAAATTTCGACTTTATAACTAGCTATTTTTGACAGAATTTTTTTACCTCATTCGAAAGCTATTGTTGTCCTGAGCTTAAATTTGAAAAGATTTTGCACCTGTGATCATTTTTCGTAAAGTTATGAGGGTTTAAAGATTGCCATTTTGGCCAATTTGGGTCAATTAACGCGCGATATATTTCGCGCTATTAACGCGTAAGCGGAGACTTAATCCGTCTTAGAAATCGTTCCAAATTGGTTAAAAGAAGTTTATTTGCCATAATTGGCTTGTTACAAGGAGCGAAATTTTTCGTTTTGTGCTTTATATGGCGTGTTGGGGGATGATTTTCATAAAAAATTTCAAATTTAAAAAAAAAAAATTCATTTTATTTTATTTCATTTATTTTTTTTGTTAATACTGCTGCATAAACCTTAAAAGGCAGTCGGAATATTCAGGGCTTCGCCCTGATACGAGCAGTCTTGTTGTTTTTGCATAAATATTGGTGTTTTGTCATGAAAAGAGAATATTTTCAGGAAAAAGAATGCATATCATACATACATTTTTTATGAATGCAAATTCAAAGACAAGGTTTTTAGATTTAGCGACATCTCAAATAACATAGAGTTAACTTTCGTTGTTGACCCTAAAAATTGTGTTGTCATCTCTTCGAAGCGCAAAACGATCAAAGTTTTCAAACAAATTTTCTCTTAAACTTTCTCCTTGCATGTGAATTTTCCTGTGTATAACGCAATCTTTCATGTTGAAAAATGTATAACGCAATCTTTCTTGTTGAAAAGCTCAAGTTTTGACTCATAATTTATGTAAAAAACTCAAACAACAATTTTTTGTTTTGCATAAATTTTAGGTCTCGGGTAAAGAACTACAGTGCTGATTTAAATTATCACAAAACGCATTGAACCTGAAATTTAAAACGCATTTTTTCAAATTAGATTAGCTTTGGAAATGGTGAAGGACAATTTTGCTCAAAACTTTAGCTGAATTATTGTAGTGCAATTTGTTCCGCAAAAATTGGTTCCAAAATTTTACCCCAACAAAGGATTTTTCTTCGTTTTTTTAGTAAATCAAAAATTACGCTATAACTAATTTTTCGATCACTAACATAGTTATATCAGCGTAAACCTGTTATGTAGCTCAGCGAACTTTTTTTAAAAAATAATCTCCAAACAATGCGCAATACATTTAAATAATGTTTTTGAATAGAAAATATGGTGTTTTATTTATCAAAATTGACCGTTTTTGTCTATTAAACAAAAATACTTTAATTTAAAAATATTTTTGAAGAATAAATCTCTCCCACAGTTTGTTTGGCTACGTAAGAAGCTCATGTTGGTATAATTATGTCAGAAATTGACCAGGTAGTTATGGCGTAATTTTTGATTGACTAAAAAGCGGAAAAAAATCCATTTTGAGGTAAAAATTTGGGCCCGAATTTTGCAGAGCAAATTGCACCATATTAAAACTGGTGAAGTAAGATTGGTCTTCATGATTTTTCACAGAAAGTCAACTCAATTTGAGAAAAACGCATTATAAAATTCGTGTTAATTGCGTTTTATCCGGATAATTTAAATCAACACTTTATTAATCCGAACATTTAATTTAGAGACATTATAGTTATTAAAATATGGCCAAAATTTTGAAGTCTGAAACTTTTTTGATGCTTTTTGTAAAATTTGTCTCTTTGCAGATTGGTGTCAATGCATGTTTTAGGCGAGATCTTTAATGTCCCGGTCAACCAAGATTCTTTAAACCATCTTTGTTTGATTACAACCACATCAAAATAATGATAAACAAATGATTTGGGAAAATGCTGGTCACGAATTGTTCATGCATAAAAATTTAACCACGCAGACTTTAAATGCAATTTTTAGTATTTATGGAAATGTAGGTAAGTGGAATATGTTCTAAGCTCAAGTAGAAAGATTCAATAATTTCTTCTTGCACGTCACCACGCAGTTCGAGCGTTCTTGTTTTGTTTTAAGAAGTTAAGTTTTCTAATTTGACAACTAAGCTTTAGTTAATATATTCTGAGTATGATTGAATAAAAAAAATTCTTTGGAAGTAAATATGGCTAACCTGTAAAGTGTCTTTCGATTCTTCAGGAAGTCGTCTGTGACACCCTGCACTATGAAGTAGTCATCTTTGAAGCCAAGGATTTTGCCCCAGAAGAAGATCTTCCTGAAGTTGTTCTTCTGCTTCACAGACGCCAAAGATACCTGAAGAATTCAAATAAACACTGAATATATCTCGCATTAAACCACCCGAGCACAATTATTCCGTTACTTTCGTTACGAAGTCGGATCAGCAAGCGTCAGTTCGTATTAAGGCACTGGCATGTAGAATACGCTTGCTCCGCTTCGCTGTGCTGTGTTTACATCCGGCATGAGAAGAAAAGTGCGCGTGAATTAGTCTTCCAAGCTCAATATGATGTAGAAATTGTCCCTTAGTGTTCCGACTTTCGTAACGAAACTAACAGATATTTGTGCTCCGGGTGTTTTTTTCTTCAGACAACTTTAGACTTTTTATTTGGCCATTTTTGACAAAAAAAATTTTATATCAATGAAAAAGTATTGTTATTCTGCACTTAAATTTAAAAAGATATTTCACCTGTGATCATTTTTTGTAAAACTATCGGGTTTTAAAGATTGCCCCGTTGGCCAATTTGGTACAATTAACCCGCGATATATTTCGAACTTTTAACGCGTAATCCGTTCTAGAAATCGTTCCAAATTGGTTGAAAGAAGCTCATATGCCATACGTGATTTGTTACTAGGAGCGAAATTTATCACTTTGTACTTTATATGGCGTGTGGGGGGAGGATGATTTTCACAAAAAAATTTCAATTTTAAAATGAAATTTTTTCACTTTAATTTATTATATTTAATTTTCTCGTATTATTAATGCTCCATAGACCTTAAAAGGCAGTCGGAACAATCAGGGCTTTACCCTGACATGAGCAGTCTTGTTGCGATTTTTCGCCTGTTACGAATTGTAGCTTGTGACGAACTTTCGCCTGCTACGGCTTGTCGCTTGTTACGAATTGTCGCTCTACGAATTTATGCAAATTAAGTTAATAATCGAGCTTTTTACTTCCCAATTGATTCCCGCATTGAAGTTTTGACCCAAAGTTTACCCATAGGAGGGTCACAATCGGCGCGAATTAAGCCCTGCAAACGTCGGTATACTTTTTTGCTCAAAACAACCATAAAAGCTTTGGAATGTTTTTTTGTTTTTCCACCAATTTCAAAGACAATTTTCTGTTATAAAAATGCTCAAAAGCAACATTCGAATGAGTGAGAAGTTCTCGAAACTTGAGTTTTCTTCTGCCCATCGAATGATAACTTTCCGACAGATAGAATCATGCTAGAAGTCTAATGATCCCGTTAAAAACCAAATGAAATGAGCTAAAAATTTTATGGGTCCTTGAAGGAAGTTTTTTTGCGCTTAAAATGTTCGCAAACAGGTTCAAAATTCGCTTACTTATTTTTTGAAATAGTCACAAAAATTGGGTGACGCATCTTTCATACTTATTTTTTTTTTTCAGGGAACCAACTGTCATACTTGTACCCAATGATGCGCACGACATCTACAATGTGTAAAAATACAAAATGACACCCCCTGTAGCAAAAAGAGTGCACATACCTGCAGAGCCGTCTTCTGTTCAGTGCTGAGTACGATGCCACTGCTGCCCAAGTAACTAATCTCAAGGTGCAAATTGTCAGAGTCCATGTTGTAAAACTGGTTCTATCTGGAACAAAAATGATTCAATTCGTTCAAGTGCAGCAGTTTTGAAATGAACTTTTTTATGATTTTCTTAATTTCTGTATTCGGGGAGGGGCGGTGGTAACTTGATTAGCACTTTATGGATGTTCTTTGTAGGCCTCGATTGACCTTTAGTTACAAACTCTGCCTAGATACGAACTCTGAGCTATCTTTTGTTCCAAGCAAAAGAAAAAATTCATCGCGTAAATATCTACGTAAGTCGATCTACAGAAATTATTCAAATAACTCAACAATCAATTGACCTTTGGGAGCTACAATTCCAAAAATATCAATATCAACTGCGTGAAATTAAAAATGATCAGAAAATCAGAAAACCATTTGTACAAAAACAATAAATGATAAAAAAAAATAATGGTGTTGAGAAATGATACGTCAGAGAAGAGTACTATTCAATGATTCACTATTTTGCCCAAAAACAAAAAAGTAAATATTTTGAAAACTACTCACATTATAGACAAGAATATCAATATGAGAGAAGATAATTTTTTAAATCTGGTTAAAACTCAATCTGGTTGCGAAAAAAATTACGTGCAAGTAAAGATTCTGCTGCTTAAACGTATTGTATTACAACGCTTTACTAATGCATTAAGAAAAAAAGCTCATTTTTGCACGTGTCTGAAACGTTGAGCTTTATTTTGGATTTGTTTTGTTGAAAATATACCTTTGTACAAACTACAAGCTTATGTTTGTAATATTGCCTTAAAGAATGTTTTTATGATATAGTTTTCGAGATCAGCTTGTGCTTTGACGTAGTTTTCTGCTTTATCAATGAACATGGAATCTTTAATTTTTGAGCTGTGAACAGTATACAGAAGCACAATAAAAACAGTCAGAAAAGGCAAAAAAATTACGATCTGTAATACAACTTCATCACAAGTATGAAAAAAAAAGAAATATCTTCCAAAATTAGCTTTCATCCCTAATTACAGTACTGGAACACATTTGAAATGTTTTTGGTGATATCTCAATTTTTTTATTTTCATTTTTTCATCTTTTCTTTTAAGATATTTCTAAATAAAGAAAATCTAACAAGCAGTTTTAGGATAGCGTTTTTTTTAGAATAAGTGACCCGGAACCCTTAAAAACTCATAGTAGATTGATTCTTTAAAGTCAAAGAGATCAACTGTTTCACTTGAAAGTGATAAAAAAAATTTTGAACGTTTTTCTCAGGCGCGGACTTAGGGGGGAGGGGGGTTGGACGCCTCCTTCTTCTCAGGGATTCGACCCCCTGCCGACCCCAAGGATCCTCCCTTTGTACTGTTTTGAGTCATCCATCTTTGGTAAGGAACCCTAATGAGTTGGGATGGATGTCTAACTCATAGAGTAATTTCAGATAAGGTACACCGTCTGCTCGTCACGCTATCTTATTTTCGGCCAGATAGATTCGCGCAACTTCTTAGTCTCATACCGATCTTAATCTTAATCTTATATCTCTTATTCTCAAAAGATCTAGAGTATACTGGTTTTGTTACGAGTCGGTCTCTTGGAGAAAGCAACTAAGTTGTAAGTTAAATTCAAATTTCTCTGGTGCTGAAATTACAAGTTATTTCAGCTCTCACAAATAAGTGGGTTGTTAGTTTTATGAAGTGTGATTGGTTAGTCTTTAATTTTTTATAGAGATGAAATATCTAAATTATAACCAATAATAAATTATAGTTTGGATCTGGTTCCACCCATCCGGGGTTTACAGAGTTTTTGTTCTTTTGACTTCTATCTGTAATTGAGGTTGGATGATGACCGTTTGCATTTCGCGAGCATCATTTTTATTTCGTGCTTGGAGGAAGAAGTTCCAGGAAGCTGGAATCGTAGATGTCATTCTGTCATTCAACAATGACTGTGACCCCCAACAAAATCAATCTGATTTCCAAATGGTTTGTTATGATCGTTTGCTCTTGTTCGGAGTGGAGAACTGTGTTTCGAACTTGTTTGGGAATGGCGTGAAGCTCGAGTTTGAAAGGAATGCCTTGTAGCTCGGATCTCTACGTATACTTGACTATCGAGATGGCCATTGGTCTGATTCAATGAAGTCCTTTGCTTCGATGTCAAGTCGTACTTCAAATCATTTGAGTTGTGGTTGTGAGCGGCATATCGGTTGTGTTCAGCCATTCTGTGGGTTGTGTGTTATGAGGTCGTCTTAGCTGCTTGATGCTCGTCTTCGTGACTGTGTATCGTCTATATTACTGCAATATACATTTTACATAAATAAATGTTTAGTTAGTTCTTCTTTTAGTTATGACTTTTTAGTAGTGTTTATCACAAAAGATTTTATTTTAGTTCTGTTATTTTTAAAGAGTTCTTCACACTTGAGTAGCTCTTGTCAAAATTCGGGAGTGGGTCACAAAGCGTGGATTCTAGCACGGTGGGTTAGGCTGGCTATTAAACATGCTCAGGGCGTCCTTTTCTGGTGGGTTAGTCCAGGAGTGAGTGTATGATTTCATGCTGGTTTTTTATGGGGTCCTGTTTTGTGTTAACCTTTTAGGTTATGTTTGTTACTGGTTTTTTTCCTTTTGTTGTTTTGGTTGTGTCCTTTTTGCAAAAATCAAATTGTTTGGTTGGGGTTTGTCTTTCGAATTTTTGGTGTTTTATTCTTTCTTTTTTAGACTTGTCAAGAGTCTTCAAAAAAAATAAATTAGCTATTTCTTTAAGCTGGTTCAATCCGGTTTGGGTACCGTGGGTTTTCTTTTCTTTGTCATGCTGTTAGTTTCTGGTTTATGATGTTTAGTAAGCTGCGTTGGTTAGTTTGGATTATTATATAATTCCTTTCCAACCGGGTTAAAAGAAAGTTTGAAACTTGTTAATATTAGTTTGAGTTGTTGTTAGGGAAAGTTAAAACTTGAAATCATTATTTTAAACAATTCGTTGTGGGTGAGTTGTGCGAGTATGGATAGAATTTGCGTGCAAGTGAAACGTCTTTAAAAGGTTAGTACTGCTTGCATTTGTATAAATTGACTACTGAAAATTTTAAATTTACTGCTTTGTGGGGATTGAAATTGTTAAACTATTTTCATTGTGTTTAGATTTACTACATTGGGGAAAATAATTTATAGATTAATTTACTATTGTGGAGAGGAAACTTGCATCCTTCATTGCGGTTTGTTAATAGAAGTTTATATTGTAAAAAAGAGTTTGTAATTTTTATTTTGTTTTCCTGTTTGTAGATGATCGTGATCTAAAGACTAAAGAAAAAGAAAAAACCTTTAATAAGGAATGGTTAGTTTTATATCGAATTTGTTAGTTTTTAAATTGTTTAATTCATACTTACTTAATCATCGGGAAAGAATTCATGAGGGAAGATATCGTGTAAAGCATCTGATGTGGTTAATAGCTTTGCTAATATGCGAATGATGTTTTTTTAGTATGAAGTAGTGGCCAAAGTATTTGGAGTGCCTTAATGGTCTTAAGATCTTCAGTGCCAATGAACAATCCGTGAGTTGTGTTCTGAATAAGGTTAAAAGTTTGTCATTATTTTTAGTATTGTGGATAAATTCTAAAATTTAAACTTCTACAGGTTGCATGTATTCATGCGGCACAATTAAAAGTCGGGATTCTTCTACATTGAATGTCTTGGTTAGTGGATAAAATATATACATTTGGGTTATGGGGTCATAGTTTCGGAGGATGCCTTGAAAGTTAATATTTTTATTGCAATATGCGAATTTAAGAAAAAATTGTGATGTGTACTTAGAGTTAATGAATTGGTATCAATGATGGGGTTGTCGTGATGGTGTATGTAAGTCGAAGTGATTTTGTATGAATATATAGTAAGTGTAAGTATGTGTCTGTTTTGTTCTTAACAAAATGTCGTGTGAACAGTGCAAATCTCGTTCTTTGGGAGTGAGGAAGTGGAAGGTTAGTGAAAAATTTTCAAATTTTTCTTAAAATGATTCATAAGCTTGAATGTCAATTAGTGCTTCTGAAATGATGTGATTGTGTTTTTTATCTATTGAACTGAGTGTAAAAATGTAAGGTGTTCGGATGAAAAAAATTTCGGTTAGTTGCGGGTTAGCAAACTTGTCGTCGTCGAGGAATTGATCTTGGTTGGGTCGGATGATATTATGGTCATAGTGCTCGATGGAATATTCGTTAGCTCGGGGAGCGATGACCGTTTTTAATAGCTTTTTGTATCTTACATGCATAAATTGTCAAGGTGTTAGTGCTGTAGTTAGTCTGAAAAAGTCATTTTTATTTCTTTCTTTTTCTTGCGGTGTGTTAATGAGTGGTAAACAAAGTGGGTTTGAGAAATGATAAAATGATGTCCAATGGAGTGTGGGAATTAATACATGCTCATCGATATAGTGGGGATGTTCAGTGTGAGGGTCGGAGTGATTATATGTATATTGAGGGAAGAGGGGTAAAGAATTTTGGAGAAATTCGGTAGTATTGGTATCGTCAGGATGGTTTATATAGTCGCGGGCTATTCCGAGTTTCGAGGGAAACGGGTGATTGGGAAATTTTCTTTTGAAAGTTCTATATGCACGGTGAATGGTGGATGATGATTGGGTTGATGTTGAGGATTGGGCTAAAGAAGGGTTATAATCTGATGAAGGTGTGGGAGTTGGTGGGTTTGATGATGTTATGGTTGACGATAATTGATGAATGGTAAGGGTGTGAGGATGTTGTACTTGTTGTTGTAGTGGTGTTATTAAGTTGCTTAGTTCATATGAGATCTGCGTGTTTTCTGGGAATTGTTGTTGGAGCGTTCATTCGTAAAGGGGGAGTATGTGGGTTTCACTTGGGAAAAATGAGAGATAGTAGAGGGGGAGTCAGTTTGGGCTTGGGAGTGGATGGGTCGAAAGGGGGGTTTAGAAAATGTTGACGGGCTGGGTTCTGAAACTGCGAATTCGTCAGGGGTTTCTTAATCTGCTTTATCGAATTAGGAGATTGTGTGAAAAACTGTGATGTCTGAGTTAGCATCAGAATCCATGCCAGATGATGTGTTAAAATGGGGTGATTCAGGTGGCGGGAAAGCAAAAAGTGGGATGATGGGAATTGGGTTTTGGAGATTGGCTGGATGGGAAATTGGGCGGTGAAGGGATCCAACTTGTCGGCTCATCGTGGGCTAAAAAAAATGAGTGTTCTGAGATTGAAAATTTTTGGTATTTGGCTTTTCGATTATTTGTTTATATGTATCGTCGCTTTGGGATTGTTGTGTTTGGACTTTGTATCGTCGCTTTGGACTTTGTATATAGTTTGGTCTTGAACCTGTAATATTTGCGAGTGCTAAATTTCTAAAATTTCGTGGTACTAGTGACAATGGGTGATTATGATTTAGACTTGGTAATTTTGGTGCTGTGGGTGATGCGCTTGTATTGTGTTTTGATTCGTCATATGTGTTTGGTGTAGGTGATATTTTTGTAATATATTATTTTATCTGTGCATCTAAAAGTATTTTGTTTATTGATGTGGAGAAAATTCCAAAAAATCCTGTAAAAAGTATACGTGCTACGCTTGCTTGTCGGTTTACTTGTGTATTTATTGCACATGTGTTATAGATTCCTGTTATGAGAGAGAAAAAAACCAATAAATATAAACCTTGCGTATAATATAGTCAATCTTTCTAAGATGTAATAGGGCCAACCTAGAAAGGCAAAA